GCTCGGCTCGGCTCAGCTCGGCGCGAGCTGCCGACCGCGGGCTGAGCGTCGTGGGGGGCGCCGCGCACTGTAGTTGGCCTCAGCCTGGGGCTGTGGAAGTGGCGGGGACCTTGCAGCACGTGCGCCGGCGGGGCTCGGGGCAGAGGCGGCTTGACGTGGACTCTCACCCTAGTTGATTGCTATGTGGCCTCAGGCAGTTCGTTTTCCTCTCTGGGCTTTAGGGGGTTTTTTAGCTGTCAAAGAGGGACTTGAACTGTGGTCGTGGACACTCAGGCTCTTCTTTCTCTTTGCCACCCCCTGCCCCAAGACAGTGCCTGTCACTGACTGTTCCGAGTCCGGCCGCCTTCTACGATCTCAAGGCAGGCCACAACCATTCCCTCCTTGGGACTTGTCATTGCTCAGTGTTCAAATTCAGGCTTTGACCGTTATTGATTATCTCTCTTGGTTATTATGAGGACCGCAGTTCCGGGATACACGTGAGAGCGTGGGAATTGGTATTTGAAACCTCCTCTTTGAGGTAGCCCACAAGCTGATTTGTATTTAGGGAGTGATTAGAGTAAGGACTGTTTTGAAAGGCTCTCTTATTGGTTCAGCCATTTAAAAGCAATGCATATCTACTAAGTGTCTACTACTAATGTTAAGTGCTGGGAATTTAGAGGTGAATGAGACGGTCATTGCTTGTAGAAAGCACATAAAACCATTAAAGGGGACAGGTAGATGCTACTTATTATTCAACAAATACTTAAGACCTGCTATGTCCTAGGAATTATTCTGAGCTCTGGTGGATAAAATGAACAAACGAAAATCCCTACCCCAGAGGAAATTACCTTCTAGCAGAGGTTAGGGGAATAGACAATACATACAGTAGTGTGTCAAATAGTGATAAATACCCTGGAGAAAAATAAAACAAAGGGTATAAGGGGAATACGTAGGATCAGGAGAGGCACAATTGCTGTTTTAAGTAGGGTGATCAGAGAAGGCCTCACTAAGGAGGTGAATTTGAGCAGAGAACCGAAGTAAGTGAGGGATCCAGCCATGCTATCTTGGAGAAGAGCATTCTGGACTCTGGAAATAGTATAAAGGCAAAGGAATGCTCACTGATGAGACTAAAAAGGGTGTGTGTGTATGGAGGGACAGATTGCACAGGAAATCATAGTCTATGGAAAACACTGGCATTTATTCTGAGTGAAATTTATGAACAGAAAGTGAGATTAGAAGAGAAAGATTTCTACTTTAACAGGATGGCTGAGTGCTTGTTAAATTGAAAGGAAACAAAAGTGAGACACCAGGAAGATCAAATAAAGGCTTTTTCATTAATCCAGATTAGTAGAGGTGGGGGTGGTAAATTGTTGCATTAAGAAAAGGTTTGAAGGTGAATCCAGTAGGGCTTGCTAATGGTTTGGATGTCAGTCTTGAGAGAAAAAGGACTCAAGGATGACTCCCGAGATGTTTAACCTGAGCATTTATTGAGATGGGAAAGACTGAGGAGAGCAGCTTTGGTGGAAAGATGTTAAAATTTTGATTTGGGATGTGTGAAATTTGACAGTACTGATAGATGTTTAAGAATAGATGTCTACTTTGATAGCAAACAGAAATGATCTCAGAATGGCAAATATTTAGATAAATGACTTAAATATAAGAACCATAACTACTAAACTCTTAGAAGAAAACATAGGCATAAATCATCATGGGATTTGGCAGATTCTTAAATGTGAAACCAAAAACACATGCAATAAAAGGTAAAATTGATAAATTGGACATCCAAAGTTAAACTTTTGGGTATTGAAAAACATTACCAAAAAATGGAATGAAAAGAAGATATTTGCAAATAATATAACTAATGGGGGCCTGTCTGTGTACTCAAAATATATAAAGAACTTTTACAGTTCAGCAAAAAGACAACTCAGAAAATGGATAAAGGATTCCAAAGAAGAGATACAAATGGCTAATAAGTATAAAAGTTCATCAAACTCATTAGGGAAATTCAAATAAAAACCACAGTAGTTAACAGTTAATCGTAAAATTACCATATCATCCAACAGTTCTATTCCTAGGAATGTATCCAAAAGAATTGCAAACTGATACTCAAATAAAAATAAATGTACACTGCATGTTCTCAGCATCACAGCTCGCAATAGTCAAAAGATAGACACAACCCGAATGTCTGTCAGTACATGAATGGATAAACAAAATGTATGTAAACACAACGGAATATTATTCTGCAATAAAAAGGAATGAAGTACCGAAACATACTAAAAAATGGATGAAGTTCAAACATGCTAAGCAAAAGAAGTCAGATACAAAAGATCATATATTGTATGATTCCCATTTACAGTATATGAAACATCCAGAATAGGTCAGTCTATAGAGACAAAGATTGGTGATTGCCAGGGACTGGAGTAGAGGAGTGGGGAACAACTGATTAGTAGATACAGATCATTTCTGTCCGTAGGAAGTTGAACATTTCTTTTTTTTTTTTTTTGGTACCGGGGATCAAACTCGGGTCCTTAGCTTGCGAGGCAGTCGGTGGAACCACTGAGCTAAATCCCCAGCCCTGAGTATTCTTTTTATTATACTCTGGAAGGAATGGTCTCTTGGGACTTACACCTCAGATTTGGAAGGAATTTTTAGATCTAGTTCAGTCTCCCTTGAAATGCTGGAATTTCCTCAATTGCAGTGACTTTTAAACTTTTTTGGGGTCATTGTCCCCTTGGAGAATCTTAAGATCCCTTCCTAAACATCCTTATTGGAATATAATTCACATACCATATAATTCACCTATTTAAAGTGTATAATTCAATAGTTTTTGGTATGTTACATTATTAAATCTTGATAAAGTATATGTAACAAAATTAGTCATTTTAACCATTTACAGTATTTATTTTTGTCATTCTAGAGATTAAAGCCAGAGCCTTGTGCATGCTAGGCAGCATGCTCTACCACTGAGCTATACCCCAGCCCCACTTTAACCACATATATATATTTTTTGGTACTGGACATTGAACTCTGGTCCTTGCGCTCGCACAGCAGGTGGCAAAACCACTGGGCTAAATTCCAGGCCCCATTTTAACCATTTTTAAGTGCACAGTTCAGTGGCATTGGTTATATTAATAACATTGTGCACCTATCACCACTATTTTCAAATCTCTTTCATTATGCCAAGCAAAAACTCTAATCATGAAACAGTAATTTCCCATTTTCCTGTCCATAGTTTCTGGTAAACTCTAATCCACTTTTAGTCTCTGTTACTTAATTTGCCTGTTCTTAGACATCTCACATAAGTGGAATTATACAATATTTGGCTTTGATGTCTAAATTTTTTTGTTGTTGTTTTGAGACAGGATCTCACTATTACTTCAGGCTGGCCTTGAACTCACTATGTAGCCCACGCTGGCCTCAAACTTGTGTCAATCCTCCTGCCTCATTTTCCCAAGTGGTGGGATTACAGGCGTGTATCACTACGTCCAACTGGCTTAATTTATTTAATGTAATGTCTTTAAGATAACTTTTTATCCAAACCAGATGTCATACTACATGCTTTTAAGTTCTGTATTTGACAGTTTCCTTTTCACTGTACCCAGAGTTATTTATGTGTGTTCTTTTTTTTTTTTTTGGTACTGGGGCTCGAACTTGGGACCTTGCGCTTGCAAGGCAGGCGCCAGAATCACTGAGCTAAATCCCCGGCCCAAGAGTTATTTATATAAAGTAGTCATTTAGAGAGGTGTTTGATGAGTTAATAACTATTTTAAAGGTTATTAATTATAACTCTTTGTTTTCCTGTAAATGGGTTATAGGGAAAGTTGATAAAGGATAACATTGCCATTGTTGAAAAGTTAACTACCATTGTTTTTTGTTTTGTTTTATTTTGGTTTGGTTTGGTTCTTTTGAGACAGGGTCTCGCTTTGTAGTTCAGGCTGGCCTTGAACTCACTGTGTAGCCCTGTTTGGCCTCGAACTCACAGCGATCCTGCCTCAGCCTCCCAATGCTGGGATTACTGGTGTGTGTGCCACCACACCTGGCTACCATTGTTAATAACAAAGATAAGTATATTTAATGCTACTAAATAGTACATTTCCCATTCATCATTATTTCTAAATTCCATGCAAGCTTTCAGAAACAGCTATTTAGAAATAATTAAAAATGCAAGATTATAATCAGTAAAGGACACTAGAATTTACATACCATAATAGATCTTACTGATTTAGAAGAAAGGACATTATTATTTTTTTAATGAAATAATATAAATCAGGATGGTGTCATGGAGGTCATTGGTTACCTGAAATTAAAGTTTAAAATCCCCTGCCAGAACAAACAAAAAAACTGCCTAAATCTTGATTGCCCCAGCCCAGCTTGCCTAATGCAAAGACTTGGCAGGGAACCTAGAGGTAGCTGTCAGTTGGGCTCATCTCCAAACTAGGTGAAAGTACTGGTGGAGCTAAATGAATGGCTCACATAAGAGTGAGTTGGGCAATTGAAGCTTTTCCTCCTCAGGCATTTAGTGTGAAGTTTTCCAGGGATCTTTTTTTTTTTTTGGTACCGGGAATCGAACTGGGGTCCTTGAGCTTGCGTAGCAGGCGACGAAACCACTGAGCTAAATCCCCGGCTCATCCAGGTATCTTTTTACAATTTAATCAAGTCTAATTGAGAGTTATTCTTTACCTTGTAAGATGTAAAGCAGTGGTTTTCTGGAGACTCAGGACAGTCCCTATCTTAGTCCACTGAGGCTGCTGTTACAAAATATCTTAGACTGGGTAATTCATAAATGACACAAATTCAAAACAAAATACCTTAGATTGGATAATTTATAAACAACAGTAATTTATTTCTCACAGTTCTGGAGGCTGGGAAGTCCAAAGGTCAAGACCACAGCAGATCTGGTGTCTGATGAGGGCTTGGCTCTCAGCTTCATAGATGGCACCTTGTTGTGCCCTCACCTGGCAGAAGAAGACAAATAAGCTCTCTTGGGCCTCTTTTATTAAAAAAAGGGCTTTAAACCCATTCGTGAGGACTTTGCCTTTATGACCTAATCACAGCCACCCTTCCAACAGTATTGCACTGGGGATTAAGTTTTGCCATGTGAATTTGGGGAGGACAGGAGGATACGGGCATTCAGTCCATAGCAGTCCCTAAGACCCTTTCAGGGAGTCTGCAATGTCAAATTGTTTTCATAATAACATTGATGTTATTTCATTTTTTCACGTTCATCCTCTCAGGAGTGTTCAGTGGAGTTTGGGGGCAAGGTACACTACATGATGGCATCATTGCTTGGATATGTGTGTGTTATGTTTTCTAGAATTTTAAAAATAGGATTATACAAAACTAGGTGTTTGGTAGACATTTTCTCAGAAATAAATGAAAGTAAGCCTGCCATTTCAAGGAAAACTGTCATTCTAGCATTCAAGTGAAGAATTCGAAGTTTGGAAAATTTATGAGGGCCATAAACTTGATGACTCTCAGCCAAACAGCCTTCTGATGTGATCATTGATGATATTGATACAATTTTTTTACATTGTACAATAAAATATATTATCCTTTAATATGGCCTGTATAACTCTCTGAACTAGTATTTTCCAAATGACTGATTTGTGATTTTAGAGACATGCATAGATAAAAGACCTATTCACATTGTAAGATACAGATTTCAAGTGTTATGCACAAAAACATATGAATTTCTTGGAATTGGGACCGTACTGAATCTAAATCAATTTGGGGAAAATTGATTTGTTTAGAATTCATTGTCCCAACCCAACTTGTGTATCTCTTCACTTATATTTCTCCTTTTAAAAAATGTGTTAGAGGTCTTTCACAAGATTTAATCTTACATATTTGATATAAAAAGATGGGTATAATTAATTGGGGCTTCTGTCTTATACCCAAATTGTCCTCATTGACTGGAATCTGAATTGCTCTTGGTATCAGAAACCTGTTTCAGCCTATTTCAGTGATAATATGGACAATACTATTCTGCGTGCAAGGTCTCCAGAGATTAAGAATTAAAAAACAAACTTAATGGTAGCAAGATATGAAGTTATTTTATAGTGAAAGTTTTTATATTTAATATTTGAATTTTGAAACAGGAAATATTTGTAATCAAGACATACAACTGTGCAAAAAATTATGGACAACTTAGGCATCATTACTGAGTTATACTTCTTGGTTGAGTGAAATGCTGCACAATTTAGTTGTGTGATTTTACTTTAGGTTTGAAATCAGTATGTTGTGATTTTACATATTTAGAGTGGAGGGAATGAAGTGTCAGTGTGGGGGGTGGTGTTAAGAGACAAGAAAATGTTATGTAATTATAACACAGATGTGTTCATATTTGTGACACTTTTTATCCATTACAGAATTTATATTCTTAGAAACTTGGAATGAGGGAAATAATGTAGTTGTGGCTTTTAGCAAATTACTTAACATTTCTATTCCTTGGGATCACTTGCGTACAAGAGGAATAATAATAGTATTCAACCTTGGAAAGGACTTAGAATAGTATCTAGCTTATATACAAGTGCTTAATAAGCATTATTATTATTTGTTTTTCTGAAAATCTTTAAGTACTAAGAGTATGTGGACTTTTTATCTTGTTCATATCTTCAACATTTTCTGTGTATTAGATTGTATAGACACAATCCATGCTTTCATGGAGCTTATAGTCTACTTTGTGTGTATCATTGTAGATAATAAAACATGTTCATAATAAGGCAAATGAGTACACCTTTCATGCTTCTGCAAGAAACTCTAGTGATTTATAGAATTTCCACCTGCAGAATTTTCTGCTATATGTTGTTCCATTTGTTTAAGTTGAAATACTTATGCTGTTGACCTTATGGGTTGTTCAACTTTTCACTTGTATTGCTTATGGGTGAGTCTTCTGTGGTGCTAGGAGGTCCCAGGGCTTGGAAAACCCAGGTTTAAATTGTATTTGCTGCTGGTTTTGGACATGACTTTGAGCAAATTACTTGTTATATCTTTTCATAGTTTATACTAAGTGATTTTTAAGGTCTCTTCTGTCATTTTGTTATTAACAACTTCTCCAAATTATGTTCTAGGAGAGAGGAGCAGGAATACATGTATATTTGCCTTAAAACCAAATGCTAAAGCGCTGGGGATTTAGCTCAGTGGTTTTGCCACCTGCTGTGCAACCGCAAGGGCCCGAGTTTGATCCCCGGTACCAAAAAAACAACAAAACGAATACTGAAATTTAAATGTTAAGCTCATAATTTCATAATTGTATTTTGGGTTTTCTTGTAGATGCCAGAAGTGGGTGGAGAATTGTAGGAGAGCAGACTTAGAAGATAAAACACCTGATCAGCTAAATAAACATTATCGATTGTGTGCCAAACACTTCGAGACCTCTATGATCTGTAGAACTGTAAGTAATAAATAGAAGAGTTTGGATTCTCTCTTACTCTATGTGGTTGAGAATATAATGTAAATATTTATTAATTGGAAGCTGTTCCCATGTCCCACCACTTTAAGATGAAAAGAAATCATCCAAATAGTATCTGTTTTATTCTTAAAATACTGAAGTTTTTCTTTTACTTCCCCCCATTTCTGATGCTTCATTCCTGCTCACCAGTGATAACTACATTTAAGTTTCTAGAAAATTCTAGATGAATATAACAGTGTATGTATAAGATAATATTGGTGTTTTTATTTGGAGCATTGTCTCTTAGAGTTTTGTATGAGTGATATCTTTCTTCATCTAGGAATGATGCCTTATGTTTTTATGTTTTTGAATGTACTCTTACAACCAACACTTAATTTTTATGTGCTATGTGCAACAACATACTAATACAGGTAATGTGAAAAAGCATTTCCATCAGTAATTTACAGTTTCATGGCCAGACTCTTCCCTTTCTGGGCCCAAGTTTCTAATGAGCAAATTAGATCAGACAATTTCTGAGATATTGAGATATTTAACCATCCAAGATTCTATTATTGCTGTGATTCATAAAAGGCACAAATAGGGCAGATTTGGTTGAAATGAAGCAAATGTAAAACATTTTAATAACTAATAAGGAACAAAGTTTTGTTAAATAATATATAGTATTCTTGTTTAGATACAACTAATCTATCATCTCAGATATTGAAATAGACAAATTTGATTTGAAGGTACACTATATTGTTATGCAGCAATTTATTTTGATATTTTTTTCAGATACATTTTGCAGAGGCATCAGAAAACTAAAGAATGATTGGGTTATTTTATTTCTCAAAATTAATTGAAGCAGATACTTGTGAAGTCATTGGGAGGTGAGCCAATTCCGGTTCAACAGTTTAATCACAAATATTTGAGGGATATTTTTTGCCTTGCTTTGTTAAGAGAGTAGCAATGATCAACCAAAATAAGAAGTTTCATGTTTAAAAGGCAAACTACTTTTATGTTCTTGACCTAAAATAAAAATATCCCAAATTATTATTCTAAATAATAAGCCATATGCATTTTTTATTTTTATTTCAGTAATAAATACAGTGTTTTAATTGGATACTTCTAACCAAATTAACGTGAGAAATTTGAAATCCAGTTCACTCTTGTATTCTTGTTTAATCAGAGGATAGAACAGAAAGATGAGTTAGTTGTTTTTTAAATTTCCAAATGATTCTTCAATCTTGAATAAATCAACACATATATGAAAAAATATATGCAAGATTAAATATCAAAAAAAGATTAGATGTTAAAAATAAATTAGTATCTAGGTCCAGTATTTAATAAAGTTTTTGGCTTCATTAGTTTGGCATTTAAGATTTCAGTAAACATTCATGACTAGTTCAGCCAAACCCAAATATTTTGTTATCTTTGATGCTAAAATAAGATGAGTACTGTTTGCACAAACCTTAAATCAGCAATTAAAGATTAAATCTTGATACTGAGTTAAAATTATTCTTATGAAAATTGGATATACCCTTTTTGGTGCATATGCTTAAAATTATTCATAAAAAATCACGTTTTTAAATTTATATTCTACTTTTTAATCTTTGTTTAATTTACCATAAAATAGCAAATTCAAATTTTTTAAAGTTCATTAGAATGGTTTAATCCCTCTCCTTGCTTAATGATTGCTAAGATGTGAAGAGTTGACTATGTGTTTGTGTATGTTTGCTTATTTTTGAAACTAGCTCATTGGGAAAGACGGAAAGCTTAGAGTGTCATAGGTTTTGCTTCCTTCAGTAATTGTGTCTCTAACCAACCTCTGATTAAAACTCCCTAGTAGACCCAGGATCACTAGCCCAGCACTAGAAGCTGAGTGTCATTGAGAAAGATTTTAGCTGGGGATGGTGCTGCATGCCTGTAATCCCAGCACTCTGGGAAGCTGAGACAAGAGGATGACAAGTTTAGGTGGAGTCTGGGCAACTTAGTGACTTAGTGAGAGCCTGTCCCAAAATTGTAAAAAATTTTAAAGTAGGGGAGTGGAGTTGGGGCTGTGCTCAGTGTAAAGGCCTTGGATTTAATCCCTAGTACCTCAAAAAAGAAAAAGAAAAAGAAATGAGAATGCCTTCTTTGTGTTTTCTGTGATGCATGAAATTGAAATAAAAAATGCTGACTCTGAATAGAAATTCTTCCCTAGTTAACAACTCTTGGGATAAAACTCAAGGTAGTATGTTCTTTTTAGTTATGTTTTCCCTTCGTATTTTCCCAGGCTCCCCTTCCTGGGTGAAAAAAATTAAAAAGGAATGCTATTTTTGTTTGGCATAGTCTTTGAGCATGCTTTAATAATCAGCTTTGAAACAATCACTGCTCCTAAAATAACTTCTTTTAAATGGAATGTGTTTTACTTTTTTTATTGCAACTTCAAGAAGAAATCAGTCACTGTTTCTTTGGACTAGCTGGGGGAATATAATAGCAGTTAATCATGTTATTCTCTTAAACTTCTTGTCACACCCTCTGGGCTGGTTGTGAAAGACTGTTCTTCTAGATATTGATCCAGTTTCTGGGTAGGTTGGATTAGGTTAACGGGAAATAAGGTAGAGAATGATCATCCTTCAATGATATGATCATTACAACTAAAGGGAATTTAGAAATACCTGGTTTAGTGTTGTAGAATGTAACTAGGTATATCACTTGTGGTAGGAAATGATTTCAAGTGGCATATGAATCGATTTTATCTTAGCAATTTTGTAATATGTGTTAAAAATATAACTAGCCTATCAAATATATTATTCTTAGTTTTTATTGCTTAAGACAGTGATAACTAAAACAATAAATAGGTTATATTAAAGTACAGATGCAGATATAACTGATCATTAGTATGTAAATAATTTCATTTTGGAAAATGTTGATTTAGTCAATATCTAAGTCTATTTAGAAGAGGAAACCGGAGTCCAAAAAGGAAAACCAGTTTACCTCATGTCTTTTAGTGAGTCATTGGTAGAGCTTGCACTAGTTCTTAGGTTTCTTTTGTCCAGTGTAACATTATTACTACTGTGCCTTGATGTTTCTCAGTAACAAAAGTGGAGTGAACAGTAGGTAAGGAGGGAAGCATTGTTATAGAACCCACAAAAGGGTAGGTTATTTGGGAGAGTTGTGGATCCTAAAGATTTGAGCTCAGCCAGGTGTGGTGGTACACACCTATAATCCCAGCATTGGGAGGCTGAGGCAAGAGGATCACCATGAGTTTGAGCGAGGCCAGCCTAGACTATTTAGTGACTTCAAGGTGAGCCTGAACTACATAGCAAGACCCTGTCTCAAAAAGAAAAGAAAATTAGGTTTGAGCTCATGGAAAGCTAGAACAGATTAAATTCCTGGGAGGCTGAATTAGAAATACTTATGCAGAATTCAAAATACATATACCTACCATCAGTTCAGTTCCTTAATTTGTAATATTAAGACTGCCAGAAAGGCAAATGCAAAAACAGAAATAGACTGACCTAAATTGAAGTCTGTATCATTTAGAGCCACAGTTGAAGAAGGACTGGGAAAATCATTAATGTAGATTATTTTTTCTGAAAGACCATCTCTGAATTAACACATGTTTCTTTTTCAGAGTCCTTATAGGACCGTTCTTCGAGACAATGCAATACCAACAATATTTGATCTTACCAGTCATTTGAACAATCCGCATAGTAGACACAGAAAACGAATAAAAGAATTG